CATCTAGTCCAGCCCCCTGCTCAACCAGGAAACCCTGTGCCATTTCAGAATCGGAATCAGAATAGAGCTGGAAGGGACCTTGGAGGTCATCTAGTCCAACCCCCCCTGCTTAGGCAGGAAACCCTACACCAGTGATGGCTAACCTTTTTGCCGTCGTGTGCCAAAAGTCGGGCGAGTGGGGGGGGGGTTTCACGCGCGCGTGTGCCCATACCCATAATTCAATGCGCCCCATCTCCCTACGCATGCCCACATGACCCCACTGAGCTCCCCCGCTTTTGGCACGCGATGGCATGGTGGGCCCGGTAGGCCCATTTTTCGCCCTCCCCAGGCTCCAGAGGCTTTTTTAGAGCCTAGGGAGGGCGAAAACGGCCTTCCCCACCCACCAGGGAGGCCCTCTGGAGGCCGGAAACAGTCTGTTTGCTGATTTCCGGTGGGACCTAGAAAGTTTCTGGAGCCTGGGGAGAGCAAAAAACAGGCTTTTCCTCCCCTGGAGGCCCTCCAGAGGCTGGAAACAGCCTTTTTCCCGACCTCCAGTGGGCCCGGAAGGCCTGAAATTCAGCTGGCTGGTGTGCGCATGGGCAACGGAGCTGAGCTAGGGCAACGCTCGCGTGCCCACTGATATGGCTCCGCGTGACACCTGTGGCACGCATGCCATAGGTTCGCCATCACGGCCCTACACCCTATGCCATTTCAGAATCAGAATCAGAATAGAGTTGGAAGGGACCTTGGAGGTCATTTAGTCTAACCCCTTGCTCAAGCAGGAGAGTCGATACCATTTCAGACAAATGGCTGTCCGGTCTTTTCTTGAAAGCCTCCGGTGACGGGGCACCCCAAATTTGGGGCTCAATTGTGGTCGTAAGTCCAGGACCAGCTGCACTCAGGGAAACAATGCCAGAGGAGCACAAGATTGAAAAAGTAGCATCAAACATGTGCGGCTTTTCGAGTGGTCTTCCTTTCTTCCAGGTAGCGCCGACAGGAATCCAAAACCATGGTTACAAATGCTATCTTTTATTGTAAGGATCAGAATCAGAATAGAACTGGAAGGGACCTTGGAGGTCTTCTAGTCCAGCCCCCTGCTGAAGCAGGAGAACCTATACCATTTCAGACAAGTGACTGTCCAACATCTTCTTAAAACCTCCAGTGATGGAGCACCCACAGCTTCTGGTGGCAAGCTGTTCCATTGGTTAATTGTCCTCACCGTTAGAAAATTTCTCTTTAATTCCAGGTTGCTTCTCTCCTTGATCAGTTTCCACCCATTGCTTCTTGTCCTGCCCTCAGGAGCTTTGGAGAATAAGTTGATCCCCTCTTCTTTGGGGCAGCCCCTCAAATATTCGAAAACTGCTATCATGTCCCCCGCAGTCCTTCTTTTCTCTAGACTAGCCAAACCCAAATCCTGCTAACGTTCTTCATATGTTTTAGTCTTCAGGCCTTTGATTATCTTAGTTGCTCTTCTTTGCACTTTTTCCAAAAGTCTCAACATCTTTTTTATAACGTGGTGACCAAAACTGGATGCCGTATTCCAGATGTGTCCTTACCGAGTCTTTATAAAGCGGTACTAATCCTTCACGTGATTTTGATTCTGTGCCTCTGTTTATAGAGTAACAGCATTTTGCAAGAACTACCTGGAATTTCTTTGCCTCCGTGTCTGTGAAGATTCTCCAGCTCACCGTCGTCTCAAAAAGTGGTTTTTATTTTTGAAAAGGCAACTGAACTGATTTTCTTTCTTTCTTTCTTTCTTTTTTTTTTTTTTTTTTGAGGAAGAAAAAGACGTTTCGCTTCCTGTCCCAGTAACTTCATCCGTTGTATTGGATGGAGTGGGAAGACAGAAGGACCGTTATTGACTGTTACTAGTTGGTGGCGGTGGGGAGAAATGATAAGTTTTACGTAGCCCAACTTTTTTCTCCCTTTTTTAAAAAGGGAGTTTACAGTAGTGGCCAAACTTGTGGAAACTTTTTGGGAAAAGTGTATTTTTCTAAAACTAGCTAATAACACCACTTTTTTGGGGAGTAATTACATAAAATTATATATTGGTTTATTGGTCTGAGTTATTGGTTTGATTTATATGCCGCCCTTCTCCGGAGACTCAGGGCGGCTTACAATGCGTTAAGCAATAGCCTGCATACTTTTGTATATACTTGCTTAGTAGGGCTTTCGCCTCCCCCATACGGTGTTCTTTTTTTTATACAAAGTCAGCTTATTGCCCCCACAATCCGGGTCCTCATTTTACCTACCTCGGAAGGATGGAAGGCTGAGTCAACCTTGAGCCTGGTGAGATTTGAACTTGCAATAATTGCAGGCAGCCGCTGTTACTTAACAGTACTTTAGTCTGCTGGGCCACCAAGGCTCATATATCAATGGAAAGATAATTTAATCAAGAATGTAATGCAATATCTTGTATGAAGGATTTGCTATTAGAATAGCAGTTACAGAATAAAGAAGAAAAGTGAAACACGTAGAAAATACAAGATATACAAAAATGATCCCCATAGAAAAAACGAGATATACCAAAATGATCCCCACGTCAGTTAATCCTTCGTTGGGTAACCTTTAGCATGAATGACGGCCTTACAACGTCTTCCCATGGAGTGAACCAAGTCTTTGAGGTCTGCAGCTGTTCTAATGTGAAACCAAGATTGAAGGATGGCTTCTATTAACTGGGTTTTATCGCTGGGTTCGCTTCTGACTAACAAGTTTCCTTAGTCGGCTCCATAGATTTTCAGCTGGGTTAAGGTCTGGGTTATTCCCAGGCCATTCGTTCCAGCAGTGGAATAGGATTATCTTGAAACTCCAAAAGAAAAAGTGGTGTTATTAGCCATCAAACCTTAAAAAATACACTTTTCCCAAAAAGGTTCCCACAATTTTGGCCACTACTGTAGATCATGTTCCCCCCAAATCTCTGACCCTCATTGTCTGATCTCCTGGCTCGGGAAAGGGCGAATCTCAGCGGGATTTGAATCTTAGCCCCGTTGCTTTTCACGTGCGGTCTAGAGATGGAACTAAATAAAGCGGAGGGGTTTTTTTTTTTCCCTTTCTTTTTTCTTTTCTTTTCACGAGTTCAAGTGTGAAAGGAAGAGGGCGGAGGTCCTGGGCACAGCCTTCCCCCCCCCACCTCCTTCCCGGTGCTTTTCAAAACCTCTGATGGGAATCCTGAGCCTAAATGGGTAAAAGGAGAGTTTAGCTTGGCAGCTTCCGTGTTTGATTATCTCCCCGAAACGCGATCTCGCTCGGTTTGTCAACATACGGCTGAGGACACGGAGTTCAAGCCCGTTCAGAGGCCGCAGATCGGATGGAGGCTGCCGCGAATGCCATGATGTCATGGCCCTCTCCTTTTCCCTCCGTCAATATTTATCCTCTGGGGTCAAGAGATGAGAATTGGGTTTTCAAAAAGGAGGGGTTTTTTTCCCCTCCCTTCTTCCCCCCTCCCCCCCCCCCCCAACAGCCTTTTGCAACCGTTTGGCTCCCGCTGCTTTTTGCAAGATTAAAAACTTTTGTTCTCGAGGATTGATGGGCTGGTTTTGACGTGACCGGGACCCAGCCGTCTGCATAAGAACATGGTTTCTTAACTTTAGTCTCTTTTAAGTCAGATTAGACTCAGAATAACTTTATTGTCACTTCAAAGGTATACTCATCGGCATACATTAAAACAAAATTTTCGTTGCATACAGCTCCCAAACAGCCACCGCCTCCAATATACACTACATAAACACGACAGAATAAATAAATACCGAATTATGCACATACCCACATATATTATATGACACAGAGAAACAACATAGTCTAGTCTGGATGTATACATGTACATTGAATGATTGCTTCTATTAACTGAATTTTAGCGAATTTGCCAGACGGATGGCATATAGGGAACAAAGTTGTTACAGAAACTTATAATCCTGCAAGAAATACTTTGGAATCTTCCTCCCAGAGTGGAGCAACATAAACAGACCGTGAAGTGGGTGTGTGGGGTGTCTAACAATGCTTCGTGCTCTTATAAGCAGCATCCTGAATAACGGGAAGGAGCTTCCTGTAATCTTCTCCGCTGTCCTCACCACTCTCTGTAGGGACTTTCTGTCTGAGGCACCGAGGCCACCAAACCAAACAGCGATGCAGTTTGTTAAAACGCTCCCAATCGTGCCTCTGTAGAAAGTGGCTAGGACAGAAGGAGACAGATGTGCTCTCCTCATCTGACGCCAGAAAGGCAGATGCTGGTTTGCAGGCTTCACTAAGGATGACGTTTCGAGAGACCGCTTCAGATTGTTAGTTATCTGCACCCCTAGATACTTAATACTGGACATCAACTCGTAGAAGTACCCAGCCAGCAGGAATTTGTTGAATTTTGAACCAGTTGAAGCTTCGGGATACTCTTCAAGGGCAGCCCCATGTAGAGCTCATTGCAGTAGTCAAGACGGGAGGTGAATAGCAGTTGGGTGACCGTGAGCAGGGATTGGAAAAGGGCTCTCTGTAAGCAGGAATTAGAACATTCTCAAGTAGAAGCGTAATCCCTTTGCTTTATCGTACAGGTAGTCCTCGACTTATGACCACAATTGAGCCCAACGTTTCTGTTGCTAAGCGAGATAGCTGTTAAGTGAATTTTTGCCCCATTTCGCAACCATTCTTGCCACAGCTGTTAAGTGCATTTCCTGCAGTTGTTAAGTTAATAACACACTTGTTAAGTGAATCTGGCTACCCCCATTGACTTCGCTTGTCAGAATGTCGAAAAAGGGACATTGCAACCGTCATAAGTACATGCCTGTTGCCAAGGGTCTGAATTTTGATGAGAATTTTCATGTGATTGTGAGGATGCTGAATGGTCCCAAGTATGAAAATGGTTATAAATCCCCCTTTTTTAGTGCTGTTGTAACTTCGAACGGTCACTCAACGAACGGTTGTAAATCGAGGACTATCCGTATTGGCTGATTTTTTTTTTTCCTTCCAGGTTTCTTTTTCCTATGAAACGAATGTAGGAAGCTAGAAATCCCACCACGTGTGATATAACACCGTATTCTTGACACCTGTCAATGTTCCAACGATGTGTGGACTTCGACTCCCAGAATGCCACAGGCCAAGATAATGAAGGATCCTTTCTTGCCATTTCAGGTAACTTCGAAGTTGGGGTCCACATCGCGGACGTGAGTTATTTCGTCCCGGAAGGCACCACCCTGGATGACGTCGCGAGCAAGAGAGCCACAAGTGTTTACCTGGTGCAAAAGGTGAGAAAGGGCCTTGCAGTGTTTCTCAACCTTGGTTACCTGAAGATGCGTGGACTTCAACTCCCAGAATCCCCCAGCCAGCAGAGCTGGCTGGGGAATTCTGGGTGTTGAAGTCCACGCATCTTCAGGTAACCAAGGTTGAGAAACACTGCCTTAAGGCCTCAAAGCCTTAGACAAGACTTTGAAGGCAGATAGTCTTCGACATATGACCGCAGTTGACCCCTCCCTGAATTTACATTCCTAAGTGAGAAATGTGTTAAATCAGTTTTGCCCCATTTTACGACCGTTCCTTGCCACCGTCGTTAAGCGGAATCACCACCGTCGTTAAGTTGGTCACACGGTTGTTAAGTGAGCCTGGCTTCCCCGCCATTGATTTTGCTTGTCAGAAGGGTGCAAAAGGGGATCACGTGACCCCCCCTGGGGACACTGCAGACGTCGTAACTATGAATCGGTGGCCAAGTGTCAGAATTTTGATCCCCACTATCCAGTCAGAGCTGAAGAAGCTTCTTGGATGAGAAGCGAAACATCTTCAAAGAAAAACCAGAAAGTCCAGTTGCCTCTTGGAAAAAAAAGCACCTTTGGGACAATAGGTAGTCCTCAACTTATGACCACAATTGAGCCCAAAACCTATGTTGCTAAGTGAGAAATCCGTCCAGTGAGTTTTGCCACGTTTTACAACTTTCCTTGCCTCGCTGCAGCTGTTCAATTAGTAACACCGTTGTTAAGTGAAATATGTCGCAAAAGGGGGATTGCATGACCCCAAGGACGCTGCCACCGTCATAAATACGAGTCAGTTGTCAGGCACCCGAATGGAAATCACGTGACCCTGGGGGATGCTATACAATGGCCGTAAGTGTGAAAAACGGTCCTCAGTCATACTTTTTTTTCAAGGATGCTGTAACTTCAAACGGTCACTAAATGAACTGTTGTAAGTGGAGGACTGCCTGTACTAGTGGAGAAGGACCTGTTCCCTGGTGATCTTGCCATACATTTCCTGTATTCCTAAATTTAAGTTGCTTGTGATGAGGATCCCGAACCTTTTCTTACTTCCATTGTATTTTCTCCTCCTGAAGGCCAAACTCAAAATCTTATGCCGTTTGCTTGAGGCTGTTTCACCCCCCCGAATCTCCCCCCCCGCCCCCAAATAGTATTCCAGAATCCTTCCTGGCTCTTAACAAGCCTTGGCAATTTCTTGCCTTTCCCAGTTTCACCATTCCCTCCCATTTCCCTTCCCTTGCCAGGGCTGCAAGTTCCAATATTATTGGCTGTCGTTTCCTGTTGATTGACAGATCTCCTTTTTTTGGGGAGCAGCGGTTCCAATATTCCATAGCTCCGTTTTCTCCCATCGACTGCTTATTTTGGGGGGGGGGGGTGGAGCCGGGTGCAACTCCCTTCCACTCTTAACCATGTAGCGACCGAGTGCTGGCCTTCTCTAAGCACTTGGAGGGGGGGTGGATGTCATTAAGCGAAATGAAATTTTGGCGAATTTTTTAAAAGCTAATCTAAGCGATGCTAAATGATAGCATCGCTGGAAACCTTGGGGATTAAAATGGCAGCCAGGTTAATAAACGTCAAAAGTTGGTGAGCCAGCCTGCATTCCTGCGCTGATTTCTCACGGATATTAACTCAGACCAATATGAAGGCAGTCTAGGCTAGTGATGGCTAACCTTTTTGCCATCGAGTGCCAGGAAGGGGGGGGCGGGGCGTGGTGTCACATGTGCGCGTGCCCACATCCATAATTCTATGCGCCCCATGCATGCGTGTGCGACCCCCCCCGCTTCTGTCACACAATGGCCCAGTAGGCCCATTTTTCTCTCTCACCGGGTTCCAGAGCCTTTCTAGGAGTCTGGGGAGGGCAAAAACAGCCTTCCCCACCCCCGTGGAGGCCCTCTGGAGGCTGAAAATGGCCCGTTTGCCAACTTCCTGTCCTACCGGAAGTTGGCAAATGGGCCATTTCTGGTCTCCGGGGGTGGGGGGAGGCCATTTTCGCCCTCCCCAGACTCCTAGAAAGGCTCTGGAGGCTGGGGACAGCAAAAAACAGGCCTTCCCCACCACCCACCAAGGCCCTCCGGAGGCAGGAAACAGCCTGTTTCCCTACTTCTGGTGGGCCCAGAAGGCTGCGCCGGAGCTGAGCTTGCGTGCCCACTGATATGGCTACTGATATGGCTACTCGCGTGCCATAGGTTCGCCATCACGGGCCTAGGCAAATATATACAGGCAGTCCTCGACATACGGCCACAATTTGAGCCCGACATTTTCTGTTGCTAAGCCAGACAATTCAGTGACAATTCGCCCCCATTTTGCAACCTTTCTTGCCCCCGTCGTTAAGTGAGTCACCGCAGTCGTTAACTTAGCAACATGGTTGTTGAGCAAACCTGGCTTGTCCCTGAGTTTGCTGGTCGGGAGGTCGCCAAAGGGGATCGCGTGACCCCGAGACACAGCGACCGTCACAAACACGAGTCGGTTGGCTAGCGTCTGATCATGTGACCACAGGGAGGCTGCAACGGTCGTTAAGTGTGAAAAACGCTCATAAGTCTTTTTTTCAGTACCAAACTGTTGTAAGTCGAGGACTACCTGGGTAGGAAATGTATGGTCTCCTCAGCCTGGTAGAATTAAAAGCATGGATTACGACGAATTCTGCAGCAAATGTTTATCATTTTCTTCTTGACCTTGTGCCTTTCTGGATGTTTTGCATTTCCCTCAGGAGTGGGGTGGGAATGCAGATTTTGCAATATCCTTGCCTCAGGAGTGGGGTGGGAATGGAGATTTTGCAATATTCTTCCCTCAGGACTGGGGTGGGAATGGAGATTTTGCAATATCTTTCCCTCATGAGTGGGATGGGAATGGGGATTTTGCAATATTCTTCCCTCAGGAGTGGGGTGGGAATGGAGATTTTGCAATATCCTTCCCCCTGGAGTGGGGTGGGGAATGGAGATTTTGCAATATCCTTCCCTCAGGAGTGGGGTGGGAATAGAGATTTTGCAATATCCTTCCTGCAGGAGTATGTAAGTTTTTTAATTTTGTGGGCCAAATTTTTGTATATTTGATTTTGATGGTTTTTAAATTTTGTAAATGTTACGTGTTTTAATATGGCTGTACACCGCCCTGAGTCCTTCGGGAGAAGGGCGGTATAGAAGTCTAATAAAAGTAAAGTAAAGGAGTGGGGAGGGAATGGGCATTTTGCAGTATCCTTCTGCCCCGCCCACCGAGCCCCGCCCACAGAACCGGTAGTAAAAAAAATTTTGGATTTCATCACTGGTTTGAGGTCTTCTAGTCCAACTCCCTGTTCAGGCAAGAGTGCCTACACCATTTCAGACAAGTGGCTCTCCAGTCTCTTCTTAAAAACCTCCAGTGATGAAACACCTATGACTTCTAGTGGCAAGCTGTTCCATTGGCTAATTGTCCTCACTTTTGGGAAGTTTGTCCTTAATCCCAGGTTGCCTCTCTCCTTGATTAGTTTCCATCCGTTGCTTCTTGTCCTGCCTTCAGGTGCTTTGGAGAATAGCTTGACCCCCAAATCTTCTTTGGGGCAACCCCTGAGATATTGGAAGACTGCTATCATGTCTCCCCTAGTCCTTCTCTTCATTAAACTAGACATACCCAGTTCCTGCAACCGTCCTTCATATGTTTTAGCCTCCAGTCCTCTAATCATCTTCGTTGCTCTTCTCTGCCCTCTTTCCAGAGTCCCAACATCTTTTTTTTAAATATTGTGGCGACCAAAATGGGATGCAGTTAGTTATTCGAGACTTATACAAAAGCTGGCTTATTGTTAGGGTGTGTGTAAAAAGTATTTGTTGCTTGTGCAACGAGCAGAGCAGAAACACACAGGGAAGGAGATAAACGTGCAGCTCGTGTGAGAAAAATACTTTATATACAAGATAATAAGCAGTCTCGGTGTAGGTAAAACAGTCCAAGGTCATAAACAGTAATATCAGTCCAGTAAGTATCTTCCCTTACCAAAGCAAACAGACTTTAGTAACTCTTGGTATACAGTACCATATAACAATTCAGTCTAACACCGATCAGCAGAAAGACGCAGGAAGCAACAGGAACAATCAGGAACAAAGAACAATCAGGAACAAAGAACGCTTCTCTGCGCTGCTTATTTATGCACTGTAGCCTAATTACAGGGTTCAGCAAACCCTGATTACGTGGCTCAGTTGTTTCTTAAAGAAACAGATATATTGCCTGACCAACAAGTTAGGAGTAAGCTACAAGCTGAACCTAACACTTATATAGCGCTAAAAGCTATGGGGGGCAAGTAGAGAAAGCAAATAGCTTTGCATAAATTAATTCTCTCGAATTGCCTGCTTGTTTTGAGAGAGTGCGAAATCTCTCCAAAAAAACCCGAGTGTATCGGATTCTACAAAGCAGGCAAACGTAAACAATATTCTCCCCCCCCCTTTTTTTTTTTTTTGGCACATCCCGGCCTGTTGTTTTAGGTGTGAAATGCGTTGGGAGTGGAGAAGTTCAGCCATAAATCTCCCGTCGCATTTTGCGGGTTCCTCTTTTAAACTCGAGATCAAAGATTGCCCTGGAAGCTACTTTTCGGGTTGAGTCCAAGGGCCTTGAGGAGCTCCGGTCTGACACCAGCAGGTTGTCAGGGTGTCGATGTTTTGGTAAGGACGGGGCGGAATAATAAAGGAAGGGATCGAAGTCTGAATTCGTGGAAGTGCTGAGACCAAAAGAAATAGCAAAAAAAGAAAGGAAAACCTCCGAAGGGCAGAAAGACTTGGCTGGTGAACAGACTGACTGCTTGAATAGATAGAGTAGAGTAGAGTAGAGTAGAGTAGAGTAGATAGTAGAGTAAGTAAGTAGAGTAGAGTAGAATAGAATAGAATGAATAGAATAGAATAGAATAGATTAGAATAGAATAGAATAAGAGCAGAGCAGGAGAATAGAATAGAATAGGAGTAGAATAGAGTAGAACAGAACAGAACAGAACAGAACAGAATAGAGTAGAGATATAGAGTAGAATAGAATAGAATAGAATAGAATAC